GGGGGGGGCGCGAAACTCTGGGGGAAGGAACGGTTCGTCAAGATTTGATGAATCCCCATTTTGCCGCACACGCAGAATCACGAATGCAGACCTTGATGAGCATGGCGAGATGCGACGGTGAGGAAGGGAGGGAGGGGGGAGGGCGTCGTTGATCAGCCTGCCAAACCGTGAATCAGCACCACGTCACGTGAACGAGCCAAGCTTGGCTGAGCCCGGTGTTGCTCGATCGTGCTGCATCATGGCTGGTGCTGCAGCATGGCTCGGCGGCAGCGGCGGCGGCGTGTGCGGCGGCGGCAGGAGCGGGTGCGGGTCGGTGCGGCCTCGTCAAGGTGGGCGGTCGACGAGGTGCATGCGTGGACTCACGACTCGCGCGCGACTGTTGTGTGACTGCAGCAAAAGTTTTGCAATTAAGTGTGCATGCTGCAGGCAAGATCGAGCAAGCAGCTGAGTTGAGGGCCCCGCCTGGCTGCCTGCCTGCCTGCCTGCATTCACGAACACGATTGATTGCATATATGCTGGTGATCTGACGGCCGCGTTCTCGGGTTTGGATTCGGATGGCCCTTCCAACGGCAAGGGGCCACTCTGCTGCTGCTGCTGCTGCTGCTATTAACCGCATCTTTGTCGGCTCCCTCCCTCGGCCTCCATAACGACGGGGCTTCTTGCCGCATCGCGGATACCGAATGCACGAGAAGAGAGGCAGCGAGGCCATCGCCATCTGCATGGCGCAAGTCTCGAGTTTGAGTCAGAGTAGTGCGTCGTAAAGTGCTGTCATGGCGCTTCCTCCGGCGGCTAGCGCGCGCGGAGTCTTGAGTTCTAGCCAATTTACAGTCAGAGTTTGAGTGGTACGGCATCCCAGCTCTCTCAATTAAGTCACCGCAAAGTGAAAGGGTTCTTCTTGAACTTGGCGCAATGTGAATTAAGCGAGTCGTGAGTTGTGTTCCCAAAATGGATCTGTTAATTGGGCTCGAGGGATGCGGGCACGTACTGTAGATGACTTGACCACAACTTGCTTGCATGGCACGAACCCTTTGCGCCCGCGGTTGTGCAGAAGGGTACATTCACAATTCGCCAGCTCGCGAGTACGGTGCCAATCACGAGTCAATTCAGTACAGCTCCCCGCTGCTGCTGCGAGCGAGATCCAAAGACAAGCCTTGCATTTTCTACACGCCGATGCCGACTTGTGAATGTGGCTGGCTGGCTGGCTGGCTGGCTGGCTGGCTGGCAGGCAGGCAGGCAGCTAGCGAATGGAGCGACGGCGCAACCTCAACCTCGCAACTTCAACCTCGCAACCTCTTGCCTGCTGCTGCCCCTATCGAACCTCGTACGGCCTTATCGCGCAAAGAGACGATGAAGAAAGCAAGGAGATGGATGGGATATGCATTCTTCGCATTCCGCTATTGCAAGCCTTGCAGAGATCCGTTTGCGAGCTGCATTCCATTGCACTCGTCACTCCTCGGGCGGAATCTGAGTGGGCCATGTCCATGAAGAAAGGCACGCACGCCCCCGCCGCTCAACTCGTTGACGCAATTCAAACCTTCTTGCTTGCATTTGATTCAAGATTGCTAGCTGCGATACATATTCACGATTCGGCCCTTCACCTCCAAACTCGCCTGCCTGGACCACCTCACAGCCGGAGGCCGAGGAGCGCATTCGTGTCAGTGGTGCCTGCTGACCATCTGGATGGATGTATGCCAAGTCTCCACGATTGCCGATGATGTACCGGTAGCAGCAAAGTCGAACATCTGCGATTACAATCAAAATCACATGCATCAAGTCCCTCGTGCATGTCACTAAATCTTTAAACACTCAAGACTTCCTTACACTCGTGACTCGTGCGTCACTCGTGCGTGACTCGTGACTTCATCTTCGCTCCTTGCGACAGCAACCCCTCATCTCTCATCTCGCCTCATCTCATTTCATTTCACCTCTTTGCTTTGCACTCATCTAGCGGTCCTACCTTAGCCTGTGCGCTCGCGTGTCGTGCCTCCTATTGACCCACGCTCGAGCCCACGCCCATCGACCAAAAAGACTGCCATCGGCACTCTTCGCGCCCAACATCTAATTGGTTCGCCCCCCCACCCCCCTTCTTCGGTCTCCATCCCTTGACAATCGAATCGAATCATCCTGAGCGGAAGCACAGCCAGGCAGCGCCATGGCGTACGCACGCATCAACAATGCACCACCACGCATGATGCCAAATAGCACGATGGGGAGCGTCAGCGTGGGCATGCCTTCAGATGTCTCCTCTTCACACATGAGGAAACGCAGCAGAGCAGGAACTTTTGGCAGCGATGAGACTGGAAGCCAATTCAGTAGCGCTGGTCGCTTCGCAGGCGCTTCCGTCCCCGTCGCTGCGTATTCAAAGGCAGCAGAGGCGGATGATGAGATGGTGAGTGTCAAGGTGAAGTTCAAGAGGGTGGCAGGGCCAGAAAGACTCTTGACCGAAGAGCATCAGTCGCGATGCTGCATGAATAACCGCGCAACGCCGATGAAACATTTGACACGCTCGCGATTGCCCCATCCCCCCCTCTGTTCATCCAGCACGATCCGCGAAACGCCGACAAGCACTCGAGCGAAATCGACTTGCGAGGCTTTCTGAACGTCTTGACCTTGGTGGTCATCGGTGGCGCTCTCCTCGTCCTGTTCATGGGTTACCCACTCCTATCACATTTCCTCGGCAAAAAGGACTCCACGAAGGGCGGATTCAATCTAGGAGGCACAAACGGCACCGGTCAGGTTGGCATCACGCCCGCTATCAGATCTATAGTGGATACCGACACGCCAGAAGCAGCTCGCAAATGGAAGGGCTACTTGGGCAACTATCACATCGTCTTTAGCGATGAATTCGAATTGCCCGGCAGGACCTTTTGGCCTGGAGATGATCCTTATTGGGAGGCTGTAGACATCTGGTATGGAGCTACGGGTGATTACGAATGGTACTCTCCAGAAGCGGTCAACACCACAGACGGCGCTCTGGTCATCACGATGGAGGAGAAACCTACACACAATCTCAACTTTAGATCCGGCATGCTTCAAAGCTGGAACAAATTCTGCTATCAAGGAGGATACGTCGAATTTTCGCTTCAAATGCCAGGAACGCAGCGCACGTCCGGCTACTGGCCAGCAGCGTGGACGATGGCGAATTTGGGTGGGTAGTCGAGCTTGCGCTGCACGGTCCCGCTTCGATCTCTCACCCATGCTTCCTTTTCGAGGCTCTCAGGTAGACCAGGGTATCTGGCATCGACCGATGTGCGTAGATTCTGGCAGGTCTCGTGATGTCAAGCAGCCCCATACTGACTTCTGCATCGCCTTTTGCAATCCGCCAACAATGCTCAACAGGGGTGAGTACAATGTCTATGCGTTGGCAAGCTCGTAGAGAATCGCGTTTGACGTCGCTGTGACTGGCGTCTTTGTACTCTTCAATTTCCAGAGTGAGCATATCGGACGTGGGTGCTGAGCCATCGAGAAGCATAGCTGACTCACGAAGGATAATCTCTGCTCAAAAAGATGTGGCCTTACAGTTATCAAGCTTGCGATACGGGGATGCTCCCGAATCAGACCTACGTCAATGGAAGCGGACCTCACTTGGCAATTCACTCCACTGGGGAATATCAGCATCCAAAAGGTCAGTCGATCAGTCGAGTCCCTTGTTGCCGCACCACGCCTTTTCCTTTGGCACACTTCTGCGCATCTGCGCATCTGCTTTCATGCTTTGCCACTAACAGATGCTGATGATAGTGCGCTTCTTTGCTCTACACCTGGGCCCCCTTCCTGCGCAGGTCAACTATCAACGCTGCCTGGCATGCGGACGCCCTCTTGCACGTGTCCCGGAGAAGACCATCCTGGTCCTGACGTGACCGTAGGGAGGAGCGCGCCAGAGATTGACGTCATCGAAGCGCAGGTGCAGACTCGAGGCGGCACAAAGCACGTCTTCGCTTCGCAGTCGCTCCAGACGGCTCCTTTTGATGATGCTTACTACTGGAAGAACACGTCCGATGTGGCAGAGGTGGCGGGCGAGAACACGCGGTACGTCGAATCGGTCGTGTGCTGCAGAAAGGGGAAAGAGGAGCGTCCTCACACACTTCCACTCTCACCCCCATCTTTGCCTCCTTAGGTTCAACGACTACGTGGGTGGACCCTTGCAAGAAAGCGTCAGTGCACTCAGCCAGTGCCCGGATGATGGTTACACCAATGCAGGACAGCGTTATGTGACGTATGGAATGGAGTACAGCCCGGACTGGAAAGCCGATGGAGGCGGTTCCGTCACGTGGTACGTCGATGGCGAGCGCACCTGGACCGTGAAAGGCGATGCGATCGGACCGAATCCAGATTTGGATATGGGCCAAAGGACGGTCCCCACTGAGCCGATGACTATTGTGAGTGCTGGATCTCGGGTCCGGGCTTCCGTGTACAGATGCGTCCGCTCAAGCCATCACCATGTTTCAGGTCATGAACCTTGGCATCAGCCCTCAATTCCAAACCGTCAACTTGCAGACCGGCAAGGATGACCTGATCTTCCCAGCACAGATGAAGTGAGTGCTGAGTGCCCCTCGACAGCCTCGAAACATCTTGTCCACCACTCTGACCCGAGAGTCCCTCTTTTGCGGCTGTGCAGAGTCGACTACGTCCGCGTGTACCAGCTCGACGGTCAAGAAGACAAGGTGTCGTGCGACCCGCCTGACCATCCCACGAAAAAGTACATTGAGGACCACCTGAACCTCTACATGAATCCCAATCTCACAAAGTACGCCGATGCTGGCTACCCGGCAGTCAAAAACAAACTCTTGACAGGCTGCTGAAGCGATCGAGCTTTCGGCCCGCTCGCTGCTCAGCTGCCCCCTTCCTCCTTACCACACACACCTCCGTCGCTCTTTTGGCCCCGATCCACCTCATATCGATTACTGGACTCTTTGCATTCCTAGAAGCTGGCCCCGTTCCCTTTCAATGTTCCCTCTGATCGCAAATCACATCGTCTGGAAATAATAAGATTTATTCTTGCTCCATGCATGCATGCCGTTCGCCGCCGTCAGCGTGCGTGGGTGTCGCACCTCGCGAAGCGACCTTGACCCCACTGCACTCGATGTTCCACTTAGTGTGCTGGGTGTGCGAGTCGCAGTCGCAGTCGCGATGGAGGAGAGTGCAAATTTTCAAAAGGGGCGCGGCTTTCAGATTCGGTAGTACGGATTCACGACTGCTGGGTGTGATAGCGTGCCCGCGCCATACCTACCTAGCTGACCCCATCCCATCCAAATCGTCTGCATGCTTGGCCTGTAGCCCAGCCCAGCGTCTCCGCGTCACGTCAGAAAACTCTCGACAAAATCAACAACAATTTTGCCGCACCCTGCCAGCCCGCCCGCCCGCCGCTCGACGCGCAATCTCATCATCATCATCATCCATCATCAGGGGGCTGCATATATGCGCGCGCGCGTCGCACAAGCCACTCAACTTGCGGCTGCGCGGCGCGGCGCTGCGCTGCGCAATAAGCGGACGATCGAGAGAGAGAGGCGGTGTGGCCTATAGCTGCGCTTGCATGGGAGAGACGAGATGTGCTCAGCACAGGGCCGCCTGTATGAGGCAAGTCGCGGCATCAGAGCGAGCGGGACATGAGGTGGAGTGCACGCGCGCCCGTAATGTACGTATGCGTCGCACGTAGAACAAGGCGGCGCGTTACGGTGGAGCGGTGCTGCGTGGATGCCAAGCGGCTGAACCCCCTCTTGCGGAATCAAGCAGGATGGAGGGGGCGACCCAGCAGCAGCAGCAGCAGCAGCAGCAGCGATTCATCGATCTTGATCAGGCGAGATCGCGGACGACCCTGTGGAGCATCACGCCGCGCAGGACATGATGGATTCAAGCGCATTCACTCGCCCACTCGCCACCTTCACCATCCCTCCATCACTCACCTCACCCCGTCCTGCATTTTTTCCAACATGAAGCTCACACTCGCCTTTGTCGCTGCTCTTGCGGCTGCTTCCGCATCAACCGTCTCGGCCGGTGTTCACAAGTGAGTAGATCATGCGCTAGCATTAGCCCTTTGAAAAGAAGCCTCTGGGCAACAGGCTGTGCTGCACAGCTGTGGGGGGTTTTGGAAATGCGTTTCTCGTTGCGCACGCATATCCTAGCGACCTTCAGCGCCACCGCCATGCGGATGATAGGCAAGCAGTGGCGCCACTTGTCAGATTTATCGTGGACCAATCGATATGGGTGGCTGAGCCGGCAGAGATGGATGAAGGCGATATCAGACAGGGCAGTGACTCGTTTTCTGAGGACATTCTCAACTGACACCGAGCTCCTCTATTTTCCCGCTACAGAGCCAAGCTGTCTAAGCACCCTCTCAGCAAGGGAACCACGCTCGATTCTCTCAAGGCTCAAGCCCAAATCCTTGAGCTCAAGTACGGAGCTGCTAGAAAGCAAGCTGCATTCTCTGCGCCTCACAATGGACAGGACCAAGAGTCCGACTTTGGCATTTTGCCAGTGGACGGTGACGAACGAGCCAGCGCTTGGTATGCAGAAGCCAAAAAGGGCCACGGCGTTCCTCTGAGTGGTGAGTGGGAGCGCTCTTAGCGATCGACAGCACGCGTCTTGCTTGCTCACGCCCACTTCACTTGCCTCGACAGACTTTATGAACGCGCAGTACTTTGCAGACATTACGCTCGGTACTCCTCCCCAAAACTTCAAGGTCATTCTCGACACGGGTAGCTCCAACCTTTGGGTTCCCTCTACCAAATGCAGCTCCATTGCCTGCTTCTTGCACTCCAAGTATGACAACTCGCAATCCTCCACATACAAGAAGAACGGCACCGAGTTCAAGATTCAATACGGCAGTGGGGCCATGGAGGGCTACGTCTCTCAGGACACCTTGACCATCGGTGACATTACCATCAAGGGTCAGGACTTTGCCGAGGCCACCTCTGAGCCCGGCCTCGCCTTTGCCTTCGGCAAGTTCGACGGCATCCTCGGTCTTGCTTACGACACGATCAGCGTCAATGGCATCGTCCCTCCATTCTATCAGATGGTCAACCAGGGTTTGCTCGACGAGCCGGTCTTCAGCTTCTACCTCGGATCATCCGAGGAGGACGGTGGCGAGGCCGTGTTTGGTGGTATCGATGAGAATCATTACGAGGGCAAGATCACTTATGCTCCCCTGCGCAGAAAGGCGTACTGGGAGGTCTCTCTCGACGCCGTCTCTCTCGGCAAAGACAGATTGGAGCTCGACAACACTGGCGCAGCCATCGACACTGGAACATCCCTCATCGCTCTGCCCTCTGACATGGCTGAGCTCGTCAACAAGGAGCTTGGAGGTAAAAAGGGATGGAACGGACAAGTGACTGTCGAGTGCGAGAAGCTCGACTCTTTGCCCGACTTTACCTTTGAGCTCGATGGCAAGCCGTACACTCTCAGCCCAAAGGATTACATCCTTCAGGTGCAGGGTACCTGCTTGTCCCCATTCACTCCTCTCGACATTCCTCCCCCTGCTGGCCCCATCTGGATTGTTGGTGATGTCTTCCTCCGCAAGTACCACACCACCTACGACCTCGGCAGAAATGCCGTCGGCTTTGCCAAGGCCAAGTAGACTCCGCGCGCGACGCATGGGTCGAATGATGTTGCACGCGACTCGAGATGCACAGAGAGGGCGAGCTTGCCCCATTCTTGTCCCCTCCGTCTTGTCAATGGTGCTTCACTGAGCTAGGAGGCTGTACCCTTGAGCGGATCACGCATCATCACTTTTTGGAAATTCACACGTTGATGACAAGATCACTTGCAACGAATGACATGCCTTTGGATGAGAAGCGTCAACGGCGTACTGCGTTGTGCGCCGCGCATGACGCCGCCGCATGAGCGGCATGACGGAGGAAACAGATGATTTTTTGCGCTCTTTTCGATTTTGCTTCTTATTGCTCTCTCTCTCTCTCTCTCGCTTTCTCTACTGACCGCAAGGATGAAGCATCAAAGCGAACATTCGATCGAGACACGCCCTTAGCTGCACCCGACGTGGCCCGGATCACGCTCTCCGCCCCATCCCCACCCCCCTCCGAAAATCGGAGAGCATTGTGGGATGGGCAATCGCAACATTCGAATTAGCCTACGTGTTTGGGGGGAGAGGCCATTGCGCTGCTCTTTTTCGGGCGCGACGGCAAGTACGTGGGCGGCGCTACGGGCAGCTCTCGCGCGCGCGCGCGCGCACTCAATCGATGCCGCGCTTGATGCGCTCTAGCTCGTGTTTCCAGGATTTGAACAGTTCGATGCTGCGGGGGTGTGTGTGGGTGGGGTGATTTGGGGAAAGAGCGAAGAATTTGAAGTTAGCGGGGCTCGAGAGATTTGCACCGTGGGGGGGGGGGGGGGGGAAGTGCGGTGGGGCGACCAAAAGTGCCCGCCCGGCGCAAGAGTGGTGCAGGCAGGCAGGCAGAGCACGCACGCATGGCAGCCAGCCAGTACTCAAACTCACCCTTCTTTTCCCTTTTTGAAATCTCCCTCTCTTCCTAGCGTCTCCCTCTCCGCTTCGAACATGCCAATCACCTCATCCAACACGCTCTCCAACTTGTTCAGCTTCTCTCCCAATGCAAACGTGTTCTCCACGCTTCGACCTATGGAATCGCCCACCTCTCGACGAAGGTTGGGATCGGCTTGATTGTGCTGCGTGTGAGGATGCACGCCTCCTGGATTTTCTGCGCTCGGCTCCGGACCTGGGTTGGAAAAGGGGTTGGGGAATTTGCTGAGAGAGAGAGGGAGGAAGGAGGAGCAGGAGCAGGAGCAGGAGGAGCAGGAGGAGGTGAGAGTATGCCCTACGTACCTTCTTTGGATTGGTTGGAGGGGAGGGTTAGAGATGGATGAACTTACTTGTCGATGGTGTCGGCCATGATGACTTGTGTCTGTTTAGAAATCCTCGCAAGAGTGGGATGTGCCTTTTGATCTCGCACAAAGAATGTGGGATGAATGAGGCTTGTTGAGGGTGCGGAATAGAGAAGCAGATGAGTGAGCGGAATGGAGGTGTGTGTGTGTGCACAGCTTGGATAGCGAAGTCACGAATGCCATGCTTGGAGCAGGAATGCGAATCAAAGCGCCCCTCAAATCCTGACGAAAGCCTGCAGCAGCAGCAGCAGCAAGTCATGCACCTGCATCGCTTGACCTCACCTCCACAAGGCATCTCATCTCATCACATCTCGCGCGCGCGCGCCCTCGAGTTGCGCCCCGCCGCTTACCGTCGTCGATCAGATCGATCACTTGACTTTTTTGCCCTCAGCAGCGGCGACGAGCGAGAAGAGCCTCATCGATCACGCTTGCTCTCTTTTCCCAGGACGAGACCTTCTCCCAACGTCGTAGAAGTCGTTCACAGAGTCGACAAGCAAGCCCTAGACGGCGAGATCAGCGATGCGAATGCGAATGCGAATGCGAATGCGAGCGTGACTTGATCGTATGAAACAGCGGTCCCGCACGACCCCTTCAGCATGCATCACCAGCGCGGCGTTCGTGCCTCGCTGCTGGATTCGTGTATCAAGATTCGTGATTGCATGGCAAGCGTGAGAAGCGATGACGTAACGTGTGTTTGCGTGTTCCTTCAGTCACGAGTTCAGCTCGAACGCAAGAATAACCCTGAATCAAATGAATGAACGAATTCGTGATTGGATCTTGGAACAACACGGTGCTGGTGCTGGTGCAAGTCGTGAGTCGCGTGACTCGTGGGTCTGCATCACGGCTCGTGAGGTGCAAATAAGCGACAGTCGGTCGATCGCTAATCATGTTGAATGGCTGGCTAGCCTGTTGATGGTCATTCTGATTCACATTCGCGATTCTTCTTCCGGCTCACGCAACTTGACTGTAGCCTAGGCATAGCTGGGCCGAGGCCAAGAGGACAGGCGCGCAGTTGTGAGCAAGTAGCAGTCACGAATACATCAGGTTATCGATCGATCGATCGAAGGCAAAGGGGCAGGCAGCTGTTGTGCTGGTTAGTGCGAGCCGTGCGTGCGTGTATATGAGCACCTCGAAAGAGATGATCGAGTCAAAAGTCGTGAGTGAGTCTTGAGTCACGAGTCTGATCATGAGTTGATGAGTTTTTTATGATGATTCAAGATTCACGATTGGGTAAAAAGCCGATCACGTGGTTCCTTTCAGCTATCTGGATTCACCCACCATTCGAAATTGCGTCACACGTACGCGCGCGCTCAACGTCGAAGCTCGCGCGGGCATCAGCAGCTGCTATGGCATGCGGTTGCAGCGCGCCGCTGATGATGATGCTGGTGCTGCTGACTCGTGACTGTCCGTCCGTCAGACAGCGGCACCGCCATCCATGCATGCAAGCAAGCTACACCTCGACTCTGACTCTGACTCTGACTCTGACTCTGACGGGACGCTCACACATCTCATGACTTGCAAATGTCTTGCCTTGCGATAGGAGTACACTCGGCACACTCACAACAACCCTCACCCCAACATTCGCCTTGAGCTGCGCCGTCTCCGCAAGGCCCATCTCGTCACGCCAGATCCCTGACCAGCCATCCCCTTCCGGCTTTGGCGTGCCGAGCGCGAGTGAGCAAGAGGTGTCGTCGACAACAACATCTTGTCCTTCGAACAAGCCATTCGCCTCGGCAGGCGCACACCGCCCATTTAGCTGACTAGCAAAGTGGGGCCTAGAGCATGTAGCTCTTTCTGCAGATAGCTCTTAGTCCACTACGCCCAAGATCCAGCAGTGCTATTTCGCTTATCAGTAACCTCGACTCGGATTACGCGCCTGCTCATCTTGTGCGCACTCGCCTCTCGCCATGGTAGAAGAGAAGCATCACGGCGCTCACAATGGGGCAGAGACAAGCACGTTTGGGAGCAAAGATGGAGCGCAAACTCCTCATAGAGCGCCACCTGCGCCCAAAACTCGAGGTGGAAGTCGGACGCCGGGAAATAGCAGACCTGGATCTTCCTCAAGCAGGCCTAGCTCGTCGAGCGGAAGGAGCAGACAACCGGTAAGGATTGGCCAGTACACTGTCTCGCAGACGCTGGGCACGGGTAGCTTTGGAAAAGTCAAATGTGAGTGCGCCAAAATTGAGACACGCATCCAAGCGACCCATATTCCTCTTCGTCTGGCTACTGAACTTGATGTGCCGGTATACCCGCTATACGGCGCTTCCAGTGGCTACGCATGCCCTCACAGGTCATCGCGTAGCGATGAAGATCATCAATAGAAGGAAAATCTCCGCCATGGACATGGGAGGCAGGGTGAAGCGTGAGATTCAGTATCTCAAGCTATTGCGACATCCTCACATTATCAAACTGTACGAGGTCATCACTACCCCGAACGATATCATCATGGTTATCGAAGTGAGTTCACGTTATTTATACCAAGGGTCCGCCCTCTCCTCTCTTGCTCACCTTGATGCTGCTCTTTCGTCTCGCTGGCAGTATGCGGGCGGAGAGCTCTTCCAGTACATTGTCGATCGAGGCAGGATGTTGGAGGAGGAAGCACGTCGATTCTTTCAGCAAATCATATGCGCCATAGAGTACACGCACAGGCACAAGATTGTCCACCGCGACCTCAAGCCAGAAAAGTGAGCGCTGCTTTCGGCGACGCTCGTTGTGGGTTGCCAAGCTGACGCACACTCTGAATGCCACCCTGCGCGCTCATCAGCTTGCTACTGGACGAGTATCTCAACGTCAAAATCGGCGACTTTGGCCTCTCGAACATCATGACAGATGGAGACTTTCTCAAAACGAGTTGCGGCAGTCCCAACTATGCGGCGCCAGAAGTGATTTCGGGCAAGTGAGTGCGATGATTGCTGCCGGGATGTCAGACTGTTAGAGCGTGCTCATTTTCTTCTCTGCTCGCCCTCACGTCAGACTATACGCGGGTCCGGAGATCGACATTTGGAGCTGTGGGGTCATCCTGTACGTCATGTTGTGCGGTAGACTACCCTTCGACGATGAGTATATCCCAACGCTGTTTAAAAAGATCAACGGTGAGTGCCAGGAAGTAAGGATTCGGATTGGAGAAATTTTGCCTGACACTTGACCCTCGCCATGATGCTTCAGGCGGAATCTACTCTCTGCCGTCATACCTCTCATCGGAGGCCAAGCATCTGCTGTCAAGCATGCTCGTGGTTGACCCGGTGAAGCGCATCACGATCAACGAGATCAGACAGCTGCCTTGGTTTCAAAAGGATCTTCCTTCGTACTTGAGACCCCTGCCTCCCACCCCTGCTGCCGAAGCTTCTGGATTCGATTTCAGGATGACGCCTGGTACCGGAAACGGTTCTGGTAGCGGATCTGGGTCTGGAGAGAGCACGCCTGCGGGCAGCGCGCGAGAGACAGCTTCAGATGTTGGCCACATCGAGGAAGAAATCGTGGACGAGTTGGTGGACAAGATGGTTGGCTTCACGCGGGAAGAAGTGTTGCAGCAGCTCATGGAGCCCGAAGAGAATCAGGTCAAAGTGGCCTACCAGCTAGTGCGCGACCACAAGCGTCTTTTGCAGACCTCGCATCTGGAGGAAAAGGATGAGCTGCAAGGGTTCTTGTCCAAGAGCCCGCCTCCTTGGAACGCTGGACTTGGCGAGACCGTTGGACGTTCCACCAGCATTCGCAAGCGCGAACCCCGAGCCCGAGACGTCAGCACTGGCGTCAATACTCCAGGGATTCCTCCCTATGCGCAAGACGGCACCACGACGGATGATGCCGAACACAGCTTTGCCTTGGATGACGCTACCGATGATCCCAATGATGATTCAGATGATGCCGCAACCCTGACCGACGACGAGACCATCTTGACTGAAGAGGACTACCTCGAGGATCCCGGCATTCCGTCTCACTCCGGTATTGGGATCCTGGAGACCAGTCTGCGCAAGGGTCGCGCCGACGGAGAAGATGCAGGAGTGCCAGCTGCCTCAACACCAACGCGAAAAGCGCGCTCCAGATGGCACTTTGGTATTCGAAGCAAGAGCCCCCCGATGGAGATCATGTTGGAGCTGTATCGCACTCTTCAGGTGTTGGGCATGGAGTGGAGAGCGCATACACCAACAAAATCAAGAGGTCAGCCTGACGGAGGAGGTCAAGACAACGGTGAAGTCGACCACGATGAAGACTTTCGCGACAACGAGGAGCTGTTCTTCGTCGAGACTCGCTGGCGCGCGCGCAATGTCGTGGTGAGTAGCCAAGTCGCCCCCGCCGCGGGAGACCGTCGGACCACAGCTGACTGTGCTGGCCCTGCTCATGTCCAATGGCAATAGGTGCGCATGAACCTGCAATTATACCGCGTGGACGATTCCAACTACTTGGTTGATTTCAGAAATGTGGGGCACGTGAGACTCGACGGGATGCGAGAGAGCAAAGGCTCCGCCGCTGCGGAAGGCGGTCCGACCGTAGACTCGGAGTCTGTCAACGAGAAGCTCGAGGAAGCGTACCAGCAGACCGCCTCTCAGGATCCGTCTGAGAGTGGCGGGACCACAGAATTGACAGCCACTTCTGGAGTGCCCAAAGGCGTGCCTGCACCGTACCCCGAAGGCAGAAAGGATGTTTCGAGCCCTTTTCTGTTCTTGGAATGCGCGACGAGATTGATGTGAGTGGAAGCATATGCATGCTGAGCTTATTCTCATCGATGCGTCGCTCATCGAACATTGTTCCCTTGCCGTGTCGCATACTGCAGCGTCGAGCTGGCCGGGGGCGGCAGCTGATGCCATCGGCCAACGAGCGGATCAAGCTCGCCGATGAAACATGCCAAGGGGGGGGGGAAGAGTAAAGCAGGAGCGGGACGTCAGACTCCTTTCATGCGGCACACGAATACCAGCGGACTGGATTCTGACAGATCCGCCACTGCTTCCTGCACTCCGACGCACCTCCTTTCCCACACTGCCCTTTCTCTGTCCCCTCCTGGGCCTCACTCATCATCCACCCTTCTTCTTGCCATCTCCGATTGCGCGCACACGTGTTGCGGAAAGGCTGCCTGTACTGTAGAACAACCTCAACCTCACGAATCGACACTTGTATTCAGATCGACACGCTGCGGACTCCCATCGAGCTACCAGCGGGTGTAGCAGCTGCCTGGTTCTGCCCCACCATCCGCCTCGTCTACCTACCTTCACAGAGCTCCCCTCCCCCCGCTCTTCATCGCTCGACACGAGTGGGCTAATTTGTGTATATTTGCGGCCCCCCCCCTGCGGTCTCGCAAGGAATGGAGTCAGATGGGTCGCGCGCGCACTTTGCGGGCAACTCCAATGCCAAGCTGAAGTTGTCCTGTGCTGTGCGTTGCAGAATAGCCCCCAGGCCCGACCTGACCCGACCTGACCGCGCCTTCGGGCTTTACCTTGTGCAGGGCCAAAGATTCACGACGGGGGCACTCACTCACGACTACGACTACGACTCACACTACTACAACTCGCGACCGACGCACAACTACTCGTGACTGTACGCGTGCGCGTGCGCATTCTTGATTGTGAATTGAAAGGGCCGGGAGGGGGGCCCGCGCCATTTGCGACCGTTGTTTCTCGCACGCACGCACGCACGCACGCACGCGGGCCTTATCGCGGGTCTTCAAAAGTCTAGAACAGAAGCAGGCGGCCAGGCGGCGCTCCCTACTCGTGGCATTTTGATTTGAGAGCTGAGGATCTGTCTGCATGGCCCGCGTCTGCGTGGTAAGGTACTGTAAGTGCAAGTCCAAGTCGTTAGTTGAGTGTTGGGTCTACATTACGTGCGGAGCTTGTGCTTTGGCGAAAGCTAGGGAGACTTTTACAAGCTCGGCATTTCAAGACTTGACGCTTTGTGATTTTGGAGCGGATCTAGCAATGATAAGAGATGAACGATGCATCACAGACAGTGCCTCACTTTTTTGGCTATAGTAGTACGCTGCTGGGCCGATCACGTCGCGGACTTGACACTCAAACTCCACGACTTGACGCGCGAGAAGGATTCACATTCGCGTTTGCCGCACCGTTCTGATCTGGCCAAGAGGAGATGTACATTCGTGATTCTTGATTCGCAGAGGCTGTGTTGCCCATGAAGCACGTGTTTAGAGTCACTCGAGTAATAAGGCTCTGGCTGTTGCACCACTCGTGAGTCGTGACAGAGCTTGATGCATGCACCGATCGGAGGCATGGCATAGGTGACCCCAGCTTTTGTTGAGGACCCCCCCCCCCCCTAGCTCAAACTTCGAGCAATTGGACATCGAGCAGGATGAATTGAACACTGGCGTATCAGGCGTTTTCGCTGCACGTCTGCAATCACTCGACAAATGTACGCAACCAAGGTCGCTGATCAATCGTGTGCCTCGTAACAGGTCCTTCGGTATGCATCATCATGATCAGAATGTGCTACAGTACACAGCAGGGGAACTAGTGACTGCTCCTCTGCAAACGTTCGCGAGAGCAGAGCGCAGACGAACAAGCTCCGCATGCTGTGCGTGATTCACGAACCATCATGCATAATGCCAGAGGATGCGTGCGTACACGCACGAGGTTGACGCTGCAAGAAACTTCATCAGAAAGAATCGTGAACAATCACGAATAATTTGAATCACGAATAAAGAGTCGAGGATTGCGCGCAGCCGAATTGCTGGCATAAACTTTCATCAGCAGCTTGAAAGCGCAGCGGATGATACTCACGACTGTATGCACAGTCGTGTACGACTGTATGCACAGTCGTGAATCAAATGCAGTCAAAGAGTGCAGTACATACCCATCCCTTGCCTACGTGCACCTACACATGCGGTCGCGCGAAATGTTCCACATCTCGATTGACTCAACAACTTTCGCATCTGCTGTCTCTGGTCTTATTTGCTGTTGGCGACTCGCACAAGAGAGAGCGGCGCTTGCAATTAAGTGAGAATGGCACACAGCGGTTTGCTCGAGGTGAGCTACGTGGGAAAAAGAGTCCACATCGAGCCCTCGCTCGCCCTACCCCCTATACAGAGTCCCCCAGAAAAGTTGGTCCGCAGCGGGAAGGACTGGGCGTGTGGGGGTCGACCCCGCATGCGATAAAAGATTCGGAAAAGGGGGAGCATCCCCCACCCTCCTCTCTCCGCAGCATGGTACAAGTAATTACAATCATGAATCTCGTCTCCGTCTTCTCCGAAACAGCTGAGTCTGACTCGCTATTCGTTCCGCGTCCATAGCTTGCGCGGCGGACAGGTACTTCAGAGGATCAGAGCGATGATGCACTGTTCCTCCGCACGGCGACGAGGGCAGGCACTGCTTCCACACCCACGCCCCAGTCCTATACACATGCGGGCATTCAATTGCAAATGACGACTGCTCGTACCTTGTACACGTAGCAAACGAGCCCAAGTCGATGTGTGTTCGCTCGACTGTCTGCATAGCCAGTCCCCTTGCAAGGCTGCCTCGACCTTCTGAGCACCTGATTGTTGTGCAAGTGCGAGAAGTCGCGGGTGTTGGATGCGCGCCAGAGGTACGTAGAGAGGCATTAGCGGCCTTAGGGTGATGGACCCTGCGAGCACGCGTACGGGCCCAGTCGAGGTAAAGATACCACGCTACCCTGTCCTGCTGGCGAAATCTCTCTCGCTCGACACCGTCGAGAAGCGTTCCTTTTGGCCTGCAAAGTCGGAGTCCGAAATTCAAAGGGTCCCTATTAGGTCGCGGTGCTGTTCACATTCACCTACCCAACCATTTTTGAATGTTAAGATGTGTCCAACACTTTTTCCAAATACAGTACGCCAATGAGCACTCCCTCCGCTCGTTGTGTCCACTCGCGAAGGATCTGCGTGCTCACGCCGGGTAGGATCCGCGCTCGGGGAGCAACATCGGCTTCACTCTGGCAACTATACACACACCAGGGTTCTGTCCTGTTGCACTCCGACCAGCGCTTTCGCTCCCGTTGCTTCTCGTCGAGATCGGTAGCCGCGCTCTTCCACTGGCAAAGCGATGCGGAGTTCAGAGCGACTTTGAGACCCGACAGCTGGAAATTTTGAAAATCTTGAAGGGAAGCATTTGCGCTGCGCTGCGTTGCGCTGGACCGACGATATTTTGAAGAGATCTTCGGCTTGAAGTTTATTGAGCATTGCACTCCATACCTATGACCGATCAAGACCCGTTCTAGTCCTGCTGTGCTGAATCTTCATCTGGTGGAATGAGAAGCAAGCGCTCTGCGGACGAGATGCCAGGGCTTGGTCGTTGACCCTCCCATATTCTTGCTACCTACCAAATCCATATCCGGAGGGACACCTGTCCAACTGCTACTACCACAACTACTACTCCTCACGATGTGTCTTAGCATTACACCTGCCCGCTGCGCAATGACCTTGATTCGGAATCTCCAATGCGCTTCTCGAAGTTCTGCCTGACCGACGAAGACTCGCGACTCGTGTCAACCAGCTCAGCCCTTCGCTTGACTGGCGGTCAGAGCTTTATCTCCACTTCTCACCCCTTCCCGAGTGCGGGAAATTATGCATGCAAACAGCATACAGTGCATACTTACCGTACCTATATTGAAGCGTGTGTAAGCATGTTAGACTTCGTGGGAGCTTGCCATCTGCAGCGTTCAGAAGTAGTACAGTAGGGCCGCCTTCTGAGGCACGCACCACTCATCAGACCATACCAAGCTGTGATCTGCCATCGATCACGAATAGCGACGTCGAGCCCTCCCGCCTCTCAGATCTCCCAGCAGATCAGATGCAGCGTTGTTGCAAAAGGGGGCCTGATCTGCGTTGCAGATTCACGATTCGTCCAGGACCCTGTTCTTTCCCTTCGCCGCTTTGAGTGCACATGCAAGGTTCTCAATTCAGCATACGTACGTACCTGATGTCGTGCTAATCAATCTCAGACGAGTCGCATTGCGAAACATGGTGGGCTCAGAAGTGTAAAGGCTCCACGGTGCCGAGCAACAGGCTTTTGACGACTTGCTGTGTACGTAACGGGACAGTCACCAATGGGACACACCGAGCGGGCCGATCCGTGGGCCTATGATCATTCACGCCTCGAGTCAGCCCATCTCAGAGCAGCCAAGGCCCGTTCGACCGTTGAGCGTGCAGGCCGACCGTTCGGGAGCAGCGCAGCAGCTGTTCCTGCGGTCTCGACCCAAATTCCTACGGTCTGCGACGGGCACATGCGCAGTTTTTCAGTGTTCCAGCCGCCCTGTGCACCATTGCGAGCAGCACTCATGCATGCAGCCCGACCAGCTCTTGCAAACGCGCTAAATTCAGAGCTCCTTACAGGCGTGTAGGCGTGCTGCGAGGACCGCCCCTTGCTCAAGCATAGAAAGCATAGGAGAGAAAGAGAGAGAGAGGGGACGCTGTGCGAAGTTCACACCGTCGGTCGCTGATCTCGCTTTATCTTCCACACAGGCGGGCAAGGGAATGCTTTGCACGATGAGGCTCATTCGCTGTTGAGGATGATCTGCTTGCTCGCTCGCTCGCTCGTTCGCACGCTCGTTTCCGCGCACAGACGGTCGATCAGCCATCATCCGCCTCTTTATCCGCACGCTGCACACACATGCATGGTCAAGCTCGCGCGGCCTGTGGTTGCTGTTGCTGAGAGAGTCCAACACACGCGCTACATACTCCTGGAGCGAAGCCACCTGGTATAAGACCGCCACACCTCCAACACCCGACGCCCATCCTCGACCGCGACTGCCTTCTCCAAGTCTAGACCCAATCTTCTCCTCTCCTTTGTAACTCAACTCAGCCACTCACATCCTCAGCACATCTCTGCTGTGACCCGTCGCACATCCACTGCTCCAAGTCACTTCTCTCCGCTTCTCACCCTTACTCGGCACTGTTCCTGCTCAAACTTTCGGCCCAGAGTCTAGACGGACCTTCGGAGCAATTGACATACAGTACCGTATCGTCCATACCTCGACACAAGCCAAGCCCAGGCCTCTTCGGACAGTTCCGCTCGCCTTGCCGTACCGTACCGACAAATCCCGCTGCTTCCACCGTCGGAAGCTCTCGATCCGCAAAGTCAGGGTCCGAATCTTTGTCGAGGACACGCCAACAAGCCACTGTACCTGCGCATCAGCGCCACGCGTCTGTCAGCCATCACTTTACACGTGCGCCACGCTCAGATCAGCCGACGCATCCCAACCCAACGGCCGTCATTACATTCGCACAACGGCATTGTCAACATCCACAGCAGTGCCACGCTGCCACTCCACATCATCGAGCATCAACACTCACACGCGCACCTGCGTACGCGATAGCCGTTCGACCCGGCCACAAGCATCTTCTGGAGTGTTTCTCCTGCTGGGTCGGCCTGCGGGTGCCTGATCCTGAATACGAAGATTGGACCGTGCACCACATCACTCTTAGCATTACTCGAGCCCAGCGGCACCGCTTTTCGTCGACGTCTCTTTTCCGCCACTGGCATTCCGGACAAGCTGGAGATAGCGACAAGAAGTGGAGTCTCGATCGCCGATCGCCATCTCTGACTACCTCACCATCGACAACGCTTCTTCACCATCAGCCACTTTCATAGTTCTCCGTACCAGACTTTCCGAGACCCCTCAAGCACCTTTGCCAACCCCATAAGAACCGTCTCAACACTCGCATCTTCCCCAGCACTACCATACGAATCGCCGACCGTACACGACAGCTACGCCAGGCATCATCTCATCCTCGACATTTGCACTGCACTGCATACATAACTCAGATCTCAATCTCTTCAATGTCCACCGCAATGGCTAGACCCTCCCTCGGCGCGCGCGCTGTAAGCGACATGGCCCCTCTTGTAGCCAGACCAATGCCTTCAGCTCAAGATGCCGAAGTTCATCAATCTCGCGTTCAGGTCAACAATCGTCTGAACGGTACCCGTGCCGTCGTCGGCGGGCGCAACGTCGCCGCTGGATCTGAGCTCCGCCAAGGAGGCAGGGCACCCATGTGCCCCTTCCTTTCTCTCCCACCGGCACCAGAGGCCGAGCAATTGCAACGGGCCAGCGCCAGCACGGCAACGCAGCCGCCCACCAAATTTGCGAGAGCGGGTAGCGAAGGCTCGATCAAGGACCCTACGACCGTCTCTGCCGCTGCAGCTCGATCTTGGACCATGGTTCGATCGTACTCGATGCCCGTCGCAACTCAAGCGGAATTCGATCAGCAGTACCGTCAGCGTCAAGCTGGCATGCCTCTCTCTATGGCTGATCAAACCCTTCAACGCTGGGAAAACGGTTGGTCCACGTCCAGCAGCAGCTTTGGCAGTTCGCAAGGGGTCAACAGGAGCGAAGGCGAACAAGCGCACGCAACGAACGTCAAGAGGCGTCGTTTTGATCGGGCCGGTACTTCACCGCGCAACCGTCTTTCGCCTTTGACGGCCATCAGCGATAACACGATGAGGGAGGTGACGCCCATCTCGCCACTTTCCAAATCGTTTGATCTTGCTCTGGACGTCGTCGACGAGAACACTGCTCCGTCTCTCGACCACGCGCCTTCCTCCATGTCTCGCGGCTCCAATGATTACTTTGGCTTCAACAAGGCCGAGACGGATCAGTCATCGGACTCGGACGAAGATGTCGCCACGCCTCGAGCGACCCACGCGAGCTCATATTCGGCCAAGAGCAAAAACGACGTCGAGTTCGAGTCGTTAGACTGGATCAATCCTGCTCACTTTACCCCCCCAGAGCAGTTGGTCTGAGGCCGTTGCACGAGTCACTCGTGTGCGCTCGAAAAACGAAAAAGCCATCTTACTTGACGGTGCATCTCTTCTTTCTTCATACTAGCACCTCCCCGCAAATGCCTCGCAATGCACCATCATCCCAAGCCTCTTCCGTGCTCAGAATCAGTCCTCAAAGTTACAAGCGCCTCTATCAAGCATTCTCGTGCTTCCGTATCATTTATCAGCTGTATCACTAGTCAAGCTCTCATCTCTAAAGCTTATCAAGCTCGAAATCTAATTTCAAGTTGTCCCCCCTCAACGCTGGCGTGAGGTGTGAAGCTGTTCATGCTCGAGCGATATTTGTACAAGGTGTCATTGCGCGGTCGTGTTCGAAGGGAAGTTGCTGCGGTCGATCTCCGTGTGACTAGCCGCTAGCTTGTTTCTTGGCGACCAGCTTGTCGAGATACTGCTCCAACCTCTCCACCAGCTCAGCTTTGCGACCCGACTTTGGCTGTCTGTAGAAATCGAGCGCAGCCTTGAGATCGTCTACCTTCATCTGAGGGAAGCGCGAGGGAAAAAAGGGGGGTTTTTTTGGTGCAAGCGGGGGTTTCGCATGAGCTGGAGCAAGTGCACGAGCGTTATTACATTGCAAATCGTCAAGTGCGATACTTACTGCTGCGATCTGTTCGTTGGCGTGGCGCTCCAAGAGCTTGGTTTGATCTGCTGACGAGAAGCTCGCCACAGCAGCACCTCCTCTGCCGCTCGGGGCAAAAACGACGTCAGTTCTTCCATCGTTGCCTATCAAGTCGTTGAACTGGGCGATGCGAGGGCCGACGCGCTGATGACCAACGACACGATTTGATTTGGAGGGAGGAGAAAGTTGTGAGTACATGTTCGCTCGCGGACGCCAACAGCCGACAAGGAGACTTACCTTTTTTATGCCAGCGTAATTTGGAATGGTAGCATCCACCATATCGCCGCTTCCGGGTAGCGGTTTTCCAAGCGCCGTGTTGATCAAGACCTCGTAATGGTGCGCCAGAGCAGGATTTGGAAAGTCTTCAGGCTGGAACTCTTTCGCCTTGCTGTACGCCTTGATGATGGCCTTGGCCGCCTCGACTTGTGCTTGCTCAGCTGACAGTCATCACTCTACAACGTGTCAGCTGGGAGATCTGCTGACAAGGCGACGAGCTACACGCACCCTCAAGAGCACCAGCATGCTTTTCGGGCAGGTCCCGGATATCGTCCGCAAATGGCAGAGGAATGAGATGCATGCCGGGCGAAATGCCCCTCTCGCGTTCTTCGGTCTGCGGCAAAATAGCGCAGAACACTGGTTGTTGACCTTGCACGCGCATGAAGATGCCAATGGCCATGACATTTTTCCTGATCATCGAGCTCAGCAGAGCGCTGAAGAAGCGCTTCGAATTTCTCCACGCCTCGTCGAAGGGGTAGAGAAAGTAGGAGATCTTGATATTATCGCGGTAGGACAGCGAATCCTCTGTGTTGGGTTTGAAGCCCAAGATCTCAATGCCTGTGAAATCGTCGAGAGTGAGCAGAATGACAGCGGAGCGACTCATCCTCTGGTTCCTACTGACCCGGCTTTTGCCCAAAGGTCCTCAGCCGCTTCACCTCAGCCGGACTGAAGCGCACTTTGGACCTCAAAGAAGAGTCTGTTCCGAAGCTGAAGGCAGTCTCAATCTCCGACGGATTGAGCGTGCGTCCAGTGTCCTGAAGAGTAGCATGTACCTCGTAAACAGCCATGCATTAAGCCTCTGTGGCTCAGACTCGCTTACCTTGCACCACTGCTCGGTTCGGACGTCAATCTCGAGATACGACATGGGTCCACCGTCTGACTCGGCTGACTTGTCCTCCATCACTTTGATAGGGTTTCCCTTTTCGGCCTTTTTGACCATCCCATATCTGTAAAGGCGTGGGTGTAAAGCGAGGCACAAGGTTTCAGCACAAACAGTAGACACTAAAGTAGCCCCGTCCCGATAACTGCTCACCCTTTGACGCCAATGGTGCACCCTCCCCCGAACTTCATTGGACCACGGAAGTTGACGCGCTTGGGAGTGTGAGTCTTGGCGACGTGTTCATCGAGATCTTCCAGCTTGAGCGCGCGTGGTCCCTGACCAAGGTCTGCCGGCGTCTGCGAGCGAGACATGGATGATGCAGACATGTTGCCATCCTGAAAACCTGCAGCGAATATGGGCTGTCGTATAGAAGGCGCATGCTGCTTCGTAGTGAGCTTAGACGAAGGCTCAGTCAGCGCAATGCGTACTCACGCCCCAGAATTTGCCGATATCGAAAGGTTGATTGTCCGTCTCTAGCAGAAAAGGCTCGAACTCGACCTGTCTCTTTGCCATCTCCCGCACCATATCTGCCAAGTGCCTTCCCACCCCGTCTCTATTCATCTTGCCGGCATAAGGGTCGTCGTTTTGCGTGACAAAAAAGATGCGCTTGCTTCCCGTCTTGGCGTATTGTTTGATGATGGCACCTGCATTCATCCATGCATGATGAATGCGCATCTCGGTGACCATGGGCTTGTAGCGGGTTCGCAAGTAGGTAGGGTCTTCCCTCGACAGGTCGAGATCATCGATCAAGCCTGCGAGATTGCCGATATCGACCATGCCGACCGGCTCGACCATGTACGTGTGTTCGTAAATGGATGTCTTTCCCAACTCTGCCATGCTCGTGTCTTCTGTATTATAGAGCATGATCCCCACCAGATCTCGCGGTGATGCGACTAGCTTGTTGCGCATCAGGCTGACTGCACCTTCCAGCGCTCGATGCAACAGACTGACTCGTGGTGCATTCTCGTCCATCTTGACCGCACCGAGGCTGCTGCCAGGCACTGCGTTCTCTGTTGCTGTGGAAGGGACCAGAGTGTCCTGCATGCGCTTGCCAGCATCGATGAGGAAAAGTATCACATCCTTGCTAGACTCTTCCTGAAGCAGATTTGGCATCCGATGATCAGCTTCACCATGACGAGCAGGTAGCCGACGCAGCTTAGACTCACGTCAAAATTTACCAGCTCGATCTCATCTGGATCGGGATCATCCCTCCTTTGCGATCCGCCCGCGCGATTGTAGTAAGCCATCGTGCCCTTTGAGCATTAGACGCCCTCTCGATGCGCTTTCAAACCAGCTCCTCGCCTGCTGCGATTGGAGTCGATTCGCCTTGCGTGCTTGGTGACAAACGAGTGAGGCTGAATGCAATCCTCGCTGCACGAAATGACTCGTCGAGCGCAGGTTTTGTCGCGTTTCACGCGTGTGTTGCGATCATACGACTTGCACCGGTGTCACAGGCAGCATCTGTCCGATGCCTTGCGAGTGGAGCGTGGACGAATTACGCACGTAGATGTATGCAACGTTGTAAACAGCTGTACTGTCGAGGGTTGGCCTCGCTACGAAGCGTCGACTTGGCCAGTTCTTGATCGTGAAGGAGCGCCGTCTTCAGACGGACCCGCGCGCTGCACACGGTGCCGCGCGAAATCAGCGCTTCACGTGATCGCGAGTGCACCTTTGACTGAAATCAATCACGTGATCAGCGAGTCCATCCCCTCTGACAACACACGCCCATGCATCAATTGGGTCGCGGTCCTTTGCGTATTCTGCTGAGGAAGCTGGCTGAGCGACTGGTACCCCCCCGTCCGAGTATCTACCATGAGTGAGGTTGCAGGCAGTCAAGCCAAGCGATTGACAGAAGGCATGATGAGCTCATATGAGAGACTGTTGTGAGAGCGCTCTATATCTTTTGAACGAAGGGACAAATGGGGTCGAAGACACACCGAGGGCTCGAGACTTCGACTTGCGGAGAGGTGGCAGCGGGTGCCTGGAATCGCAATCAAGAATGTGGGTGAGCGAATGTTCGGAAGGCGGAAAAAATCCTCACGACTGATCTCTGCGAGCAAGTAGTCCATGATCGATCAGCCTCGGTGTTGATGCCAATCACACTCACGACTTGCTCACATGCTCCCCGAGCTTCGGTGCCAAAGTGTGAGAGGAGCCGATCACTTGGCTCCAGGCGGGCACGAACGAGCACGGCTGCCGCGCCCGCGCCCGCGCCCATACAGCATGTACATCTTCCCTGTACGTGGTCTGTTTTGTGAAGCGGCCGGATGTCGTGGGCGCGTCATCATCGTCTCTTCCCCGCATTGACGTGCAGCGCGAAGGGATGCAAGTCCGATGCCGGGCGAATGAGCCCATGCAGTCGTGATCGACTCGTGAGTGCCCCTGTAGCTGTAGGCGGAGAATGAGCAAGACGCTTGTCGTTTTGAGATGAGAGCAACAGAGCGGTGTGCGCTGCTGGTACTCAAAACTGTGATGCCACACCGCCGTCATGACCATCAGCACGCTGCACGCGCGTGCAGCGCTCGATCTTTTCTGCGTGCTTCACACGCGCACACACACACACACGCACACGGTCATTCACGATTCGCGATTCATGTCTCAGGCGCAAGCGAGAAGGTGGACCGCGTTTGCGCAGGCGCGCTCTCAGTCCAGTGAAAGTGCAATGTGAACACAAGCCGCTGGATGATGCTGCTTGGATGCGGTGATTGATACATGCAGTACGGTAGGTGGTAGTTATAAGCTGCTGCTCACCAGCACCTACGCTAGTAGTGTAGTAGTAGTCTCATAGTCTTGCAAAAGTGGGACACATGAGCAGCGTAACGTACTCGAGCACTGCCAAGTCGTCTCGCTCTGCAATGACCCGTGACTGGTCAGAGCCCATAGCTAGAGCTGCACATCTTCCCCACGTTCCTTTCACACCTGCTCGCACGCCCCCTCTCCTCTTCCCCCCGCGTTGCCTCGATCACTCGCGCGGAGCACTCGGGACTACTCGCTTTTCATCTACTTGCTTGCTCATTGTGCCTTTCTTCCGCTTCCTCTCAAAGTCGCGCCATTACATTATCGCCATCACCTCCCGCCAACGACTTTTCACTGTAGCTGAGCATTCTTGCTTGGTCTAGTCTGGCTTTGCTCTGACACCTGATCTTCCGAATTTGTGTCATCATGGCCGCCAAAGCGGTAAGTACGATGCTCAAAAAGGCTTGCATCTAGCCTTCGGAATACGTGGTAGACGCTTTGTACGAGCTATCCGATCGTCTGCTGCTCCCTCCTGCTTACGCTTCCAGCCCTTGCTCTGCCTAGGCCAAAGGGGCGCTGTATGCGTCGGAGCTGGATGCTGCTCGGCTGCGGGGTGACTGGACGGCGGAGCATCCGACTCACCTCGCAGGCAAGGGCAAGAACATCACCTGGCCCGAGCTCATTCGGAAATACATGAAGCACAATCCCAACAGTCCAGGTGAGACACACATCATTCGAGAGACGTGGGAGCAACGAGCTGATAGTCTCTTCGCAATGCCGTCTTCAGTCACGCCAGGCGTGGCTAGCGTCGAGCAGCAGCTGCACGCTTCCATTGCCGCTTTCCAGAGTCAAAAGAGTAGCTACTCCGATTCGTCGCACGACGCCGATGTTGCTATTCCAGGGCAGAAAGATACTACTGTGCTTCCAGAGCCTATTCCAGCAGACGAGTCGGGAGAAGGGTGGTCCGGCAAGGAGATTCTTGCAGCCAACAATCGCTTGGAAGACCTGGCAGCTTCGGCCAGAGGCGATGACCTGGCGAAGCACAGCGTGGCAGCACTGCGTGCGTACGCTCTGTTCTCTGTCGGCAAAGACGAGGATGCCATCGGCTTGCTTCACAACACAAAGTTCTTGGAGGAGGTCAACCTGGATGCACTGAAGGCTGGCGATCACTTGGAGGACTACGCCGTTGCGCTCATGCTTCTAGGCTTCTGCGTCTATGGCATGGCAAATGAGCGCTTGCACGCATCTCGCAACAATGATGATTTCCGTCCATTTGTCTTGGCGGGTTATGCTCGTGCTATCGACCTACACGAAGGTGTGCGGGGAGGCAAGAGAGCTGGCGCTTTGCGTGGTCTACCCGCAGACGAGATCGAAGCATGGGGTGAGACAGCTCTGTACCGCAATGCATTGTTCAGCGTCAGGCACGGGTGAGTGCCTAGTACTCTGAATCGCGCATTTTTTTACTGTCGGCGAAGGCATGCTCACAGCGCCTGCCTGTCCACAGAGATCTTTCCCTCGGGCTGAATGCTCTGCGCGCCTATCAGGCGCACACCGGACGTTGGCCAGCTTCTTTCCGCAACCCGCAACGTAACGCAATCTACCGCACATACTTGAATCTTCTCAATATCTCCGTGGAGCAAGGCGGATACGTTGGCCTCCCTGCGCCAACTACGGCCAGCAAAGATGACTGGAGAAGCTTTGCATACCAAAAGAGCGTAGTCAACAGCGTCGCGGCGCGCATGACCATTCGGGATTTTGAGGCGGAGCGGGTACCACGGCATGGACAGGCTCGACGCATGCTCGGTGCAGAAGGTCGTGGCATCACTTCCAGAACCACCTCCACCCGTAGACCTGCTCCTCATCGAGCTCTTCGGCCTTCCAGCGCTACTTGGAGCAACGAGCTCTTGACTGTGCAAGCGTCCGCAGCGGCATCTATCCTTCGCTCGACCGAGTTCCCTCGTGCTGGTCAGGTCAACATCTCGGCTCTGCAGCTGGCTGATGCAGTGGTCAAAGGCTGGCAACTCAATGGAGAGCAGGCTGGCGAGCATGCGGATGAGATCGTCGAGGTGAGACCTCGGCTAGCCTCGCCCCACCCCGCCATGCCAGAGTTTCAGAAGCTGATCAGCTTCACTGCTCCGCTCACAGATCCTCTACAGCCTGACAAAAATCACGTTCCACTCGCAGCGCGTCAGCAGACATCTCTTCACCGTGCTCGTCGCAGCAGAGGCATACGACGAAGCTCGGCTCGCTCTCGAATTGTACATCCAGATTTTCGAGAAAGCGGCGGAGGCCGATGCTGCAGGATCTTCCGCACTGGTAGAGGAGGCTCGCCTGCGCAAGGAGGAAGACGACGCGCGGGGCTATGAGATTCAAGAGAACAAAGTGGAGGAGCGCGACGGCGACACTGATGCTCGGCAAACGAACGGCATCTCAGATGCGGCCAAGAAGGCTGGTGAGGCAGCTCTTCAGGATCACGACGATGAGGAGGTGTTTGTCTCAACGCTGTTGTACGGCGCTCACGTCCTCACGCGCTATCTTGGCGACGCGGAGGCGTCGGACCGCATTGCTCGCAAAGCGCTGGATAAGGTTGCTGCCAGCACCAAGCTCGGAAACAGCCGCAGCCTCGTCGCTCGCGCGAAGCGAGTGGCTGGAACCGCACGAGCTGCTTTCTGTGCGCACGATGCCACGCCTCACCGTCGCCAAGAATTGCACGATGAAGCGTTGAGCTTGTTGAAGCAATCCGCAACGCTCGAAGATCAGTCTTCGGAGACGTACTACCAGCTCGCGTACCTTCAGGCCGAGATGCGCGACATCCCCTCAGCCATCCGCTCTGCCAGAAGAGCAGTCGAGCTCGAGCCTGCGGACGTGCAGACCTGGCATCTCCTGACTCTGCTGCGATCCGCGCAAAAGGACTTCAAGGGAGCTCTGCGCATTGCTGAAGAAGGCCTTGCAGGCGCCGAAGATGACGACGAAGCTGATGCCCAAGCACTTCTTCGTGGCCTTGCAACTCCTACTTCCCCGGCCTCCCCGAGGAGTGCCAGTGGTGCATTCCCGCAATCCAATGGGATCCCTAACGGCAAGCCGAGCGCAAAGCTCACCTTGGCTCGCACCGTTTTGCTCAGCGTCGACTACCCGCCCTCTTACGGTGAGCGAGCTGAAGCTGTGCTGCGACTCATGATCACGCACAATGCTCTGGAGGAGCTTGTCGAAGGCACAGACGCAGCGATCGAGGGTCAAAGAGAAATCTTTGAATTCTTTCACAAGCGAGTGGCCACCACGGTCGCAGCGCCAGCTCCACGCAAGGCCGCAGCCGATCCAAAGGCCGCAGCGGACAAGCGTGGACGCCTATCGACGCTGCTGTCGTCTAGCGGCACTGCTCCTCATCGGTTCGGATCCATGTCAGGAATGGGTCAAAGCGGTGCGACGCCCTCACGCGCATCTACTCTGATCCACTCTTTGCACCGCCGTCGTCATCCCGTGGCCACGGATGAGCCAGCATCGGCTGGCGCGGTCCCTCTACCTGCCAGCTCGGCGCACAGCGAAAAGGTCGACGAGACGGCCACCGCTGCAGCGCTGCGAGAGCAACAGCGAGGACGTCAAGAGCGCGAGCTGCTCGGAACGCTTTGGCTGATGAGCGCATCGAGCTTCCGACGGGCCGGCAAGCACAGCGAGTGTCGCGTAGCCGTCCAAGAGGCCGAAAGGATCGAGCCTGCTCGATCAGAAGTCTGGTTGCAATTGGCCTTGTGGTTCGAACAAGACGACTTGCAGCTCGCTCTGGCGTCATTGTACAAAGCGCTGGCCTGCCAAGGAGACAACATTGCGGCCGTTGTTCATCTGGCCAGAATCTTCTTGGCGAACCCGGATCACTCCCCCTCGAGCGTTCCACAAGTGGTTTTGGAAGCTTCGTTGGCCACCCAGGCCCACTCATCCACGCCCAATGCGCTGGTGCAGCACGTCGACCGAGCGCGCGATGAGCAAGTCTCTGCGACTGGTCAATCTGGCGGTAGGGGGGCGGGAAGCAAGCTTTCGCCGTACTCTAGCACTGCAGATGCTCACAGCAGTGCGGAGAAGCGCGAACTGAGCGCAGCAAGCCTGGCAGAAGGTCTGCTCACCAGCATCACCCTGAGTCATGGATGGGACTCGCCAGAGGCTTGGCTGTACTTGGGACAGGTCGCTTCGAAGACTTCCAGAAGGGAAAAGGCGAGACAGTGCCTCGAATTTGCGCTCAATTTGGAGCAGACCAAGCCTGTCCGTCCCTTGAGCCACGCGCTGTACCGAGCTTGAGAGGGGAGCTGGCTAAAGAAAATACCTTGGCTTTCTTGGGCTCCATTTCCGAACAAGCCCTACCTTTTTCTCTCTTCGTCTTCTGTCTTTGTTGCCTTACCGGTGCATACCCCCTCTCGGAAGCTTCACCTTGGAATTTGAGCTGGCAAAAGTCTACCTAATCTACTCTCTGCTCTTACGCGTCTTGCTTCACACCCGTCGTGCAATGTTTGTTTGTTACTTGGGCATTGCGCGCATTCGTGCAAAGCATGAAAGAGAACATCGCGTACATGTAACCGAGGAATTTTGATGGGATGATGAAATACACGAAATCAGCGATCCAAAAGCAAATCTAGACTATGAGGGTTCGTAACGAGGCATGAAGGTAGCCGCGGAGGCGGCTCATGAGAAGGTGTCTGCAGAGTCCTGGACAGGTGCTTGTACAGCATCCCGAGCTCTTCGAGCAGCCGCAGCAGATTGTTTCTTGGCCTTGACAGTATTGCCGGCTCCCGTAGCGCTAGAGACCGTCGCGGCACCCGATGAAGCAGCCTTGATGGAGCTTGCAGAATTTGGATCGTCCGCACTGCTGCCGCTCGCGTTTGCAGGACCAGTGTACTCTCCAACGATAAAGGGATGCTGCAAAAGCTCGTCAGCAGACGGACGCTTGTTGTGATCCAGCTCAAAGGTGGCGTTCAAAAAGTTGATGCAATCTTGCGATACGTCATCGGGCAAAGTTGGCTTGGCAAAAGATCCAATCTTGAAGAGCGCTTGCCTGTGCAGCCACGCAGTCGCATGAGCGAGTATCTTTCTCAGTAGAGTTTCGAGCGGAAATGACTCACATCTGGTTCAGATTGGCCCATGGATGTGTCCCGCTGATCATCTCCACGACCAGACAACCCAAGCTCCAAATGTCGGCTTTGCGAGTATAGGAGGTCTGCTTGACGACTTCGGGAGCCATCCTGTCGATGCGAGCTACACGTCAGCGGAGGGACCTTCTACAAAGTCAATGGCCAAGCGAACACTCACCAAAACACGCTGCCTTGCAGAGATGGTCGGTGTGCCCTGGCACTAACGAGAAGGTCTGTGCGCGATGCTATTGCTCGTCAGTACACGCTGGTACGCTAAGAAGCCAATCAGTCTTCTGAGTGACTTTGTGCACTCACCGCTCTCCACCTTTTTGCTGATGCCAAAGTCGGAAATTTTGACGCAGCTCTTGTTATCGACCAGAATATTGGCGCCCTTGATATCGCGATGTACAATCTCGCGAGCATGCAAGTAGCTCAGACCTTGCAAGATTTGCCTTACAAAATTGCGCACCAGCAGCTCTTCGAAAGCGCCATAATTGCGGAGAAGAGCGACGACAGAGCCGCCGGGAACGTACTCGAGGAAAATGTTGAGGTGCGTGCTATCCGCGGACGAGTCTGGAGATGAAAGACAGGTGCGACGCGACTCAGAGGACATTCGAGACACTGACACCGCCAGCACCACTCACCCAAGTACTGCACAATATTCTCGTGTTGCATGGTCTTCAGCAACTCGATTTCGCGCTCCAGCGCTTCGAGCATACTCTTCTTGCGCTGATCCGTCTTCGAGTCACCAGAAGGAAGCTCGACCTGTTTGACAGCCATGAGCAGTCCATTCTTTGCGTTCATGCCCAGGAAGACGTTTCCAAATGATCCAGCACCGATCAGAGCTCCTTTGATCCATTTGATGGGGTCCTTGCCGGGCACCGCAGAGTGGAAGATGCCTTGCTCTTCGTCCTCCTCTTCGCCGCTCAGATCCTCGTCTTCCTCATCCACCATCTCATCCTCCGACAGCTCTTCGTCTTCTTCCCCATCATCTGCCATGTCGTGTTGCAATTCGCTTACGCTGCTCGCGCGGCTCGTCGCGCTACGGGTGACGGCCATGGGATCTCCAGCATGGTGGTCGGTCTCTTCGCCCGGCACCGACATGCGCGAACTGCTGCGTCCGGGCCCCGAAGCCTGTTCTTCCTCCTCTGCCTCGTCTGCATCTTCTGCGTCTTCACCGCTGACGCTGACGCTCAGCGTACTCTGAGGACGCGTGCTGCCAATGATGGATCCTGCTTTCCGACCAGCATTGCGCACTGGAATAGGTACACCATCTTCATCCACCACCCAACCGCCTCCAGCTCCTGCAAGGTGCATGCTAGCGCGTCTGTCTTCGACTTGCTGCGTGATTTCATCCACCGTCAGCATGCTTGCAGCATCGCTGCGGTCTTGCCCGCTCAAGTTCGACGTTCCTGAGCTGCTGATACCTCTGGCAGCGCGCAGCTGCGTCGCGAGGCTCTTGCGACTGCTGCGAGCACTTTCGCCAGAGGCGCGCCGTTGGGATAGCGGTCTGCCTGCTTTGGGCAAGGGCGTCAAAGTCGGAGGCGATTCTTCAACGGGCGAGCCCACAGTCTGCAAGCTTTTGGACCAATCGTCCAGCGAAGAACGACCAATGACGGGCGGTAGGGTGGGGGGCTTCGACGCCTGCTTCGGCGCAGGCGGAGGTTGATGCTGCGAAGCGCTGCTTGAGGTGTGCCCATCATCGGAGTCCTCGGGCGTACCGATGTAGATCGAAGGGGGATTGTGTCTGCTCTCGAAGCTCTCCTTGCCGGGAAGAGGTGGGGCATCCGCATCAGCGGTGAAGCTCCACGTGCTGTCTCGCTTGGATCGGACGCTTGCGGATGGTCTTCCGTATATAGAGCGCCTGGCTGTGCGCTCCAACACGCGCTTCTCGGCTTGAGGAAAGTAATCCGTCAAGTGAGAACTGATCAATTCCGAAGGCGGTCTCTGGCCGAAGAAGTTGCGCGCCTTTCGAGGGATGACAGAGGTAGGCGATCGATTTGGAAGCTCTGGTCTGCCGGGTAATGGAGGCGTTGCGCCCCAAGCCGTTGGTGGTTTGCTACCCTTTGCGACCACGCCCAGACCAGACATGATGCTGACCGTACTGGCGCGGTTGACTTTCTTTCCTGTGGGCGGGACGTATGTATGCGCCTCCATATGATCGCCCTCGCCAGGATTACCGCCCGCATGACCAGGCATTCTTTCTCCAAAGAACGATTCGAGCTTGTTGCGGCGGGGCGCCGACGCAGTGCCCTTGCCTCCGTGATCATGCTTGGGACCCAGCCTGCGAAGCGTCAATCCCCTCTCGCGCAAGGGGTCGTGCGGCTGAGGGGCATGACAAATAGCTAACAGCTCATTGTCCGTCAAGGACTTTGTCTTGCCTTCGCCGCTAGTTGCAAAGATGCCCCAAGTCTCGCCATCATCGTACTCGTGATCCTCCACAGATAGAGTCTGACCAGCGGTCGGAGTATAGCTGTTTCCCACTACGCTCTTTCCAAACTTCTTGAGTACACGCGCCAGCACATCGTAAGCATCCCGGCAGTCCGACACGTTGACGGTGCGGGTGGTGCCGTCTTCCCCTATGAATTTGATGATCTGCCGCTTCAAATCTTCCAGGGACGCCTGAGCGCCATAAGAAGCGTTCGAAGCTGCAGATGAAGCGTCGATGACCCGAGGTGTGATTGGGCGTCCTGATGCGGATGCCGCAAACGGTCCATGACCGACGGCGTAGCCCCTCTCGCTGCGATTGACACTCGCAACCGATGTAGCGCTGTACAGAGGTGTCGTGGGAGAGTCTCTGGACATCTCGGTGATGGGCGTTAATGGATTGTTGGCCAGGTTGCTGGCTGCTGATCCATGGTGTATGCGAACAGTGTCTGCGGTGGAGGGCCGGCTGACCCCGAAGGTCGCGCTCGTCGGGCTGCTTGAAGAGCCGGGGGTGAGACCATGTCCTGCACGAGAGCCCGCACTCGCAGCGTAGCTAGAGCCTGTCGCAGTGCTCGGGCGCATGCCACCCGAAGGGCCATAGCCATATGCTGCACGAGGGTTCTGAGCACCCAACAGACCAGCTACGCCACCATTAGAACTCATCTTACGATGACCCAACAAAGACTCGTCGCGCACGTCCGGCAATGGTTTGTGAAGCCCTACGGGGCTGCGGGAGACGATGGATCCATTGAGAGTGCGCCCTTGCCCTGCTTGCTGGGCAAGGCCTCTCATTTCCTTGAGTCCGAGGCCTTGGCCGTTGCTCAGACTTCCCGAAGGGGACGGAGCTGTGGGCGTGATCGGCATGTCTTGGGCCGACGACTGGGAAAGGTGCAAAGGCGGCGGCCTGACAAGCTGCGATCTACGACCACCAAGACCAGCCGCATCGTAGTCGTGGATCGTCGAGTGGGTGGACACGTCGTGCAGGTACTCCATCTCGCTGTCTGTCGCATTGACAGCTCTTGGAGGAGGCACGACACGCGACAGCGTGTTCATAGCTGCCGTTTCTGCGCACCTTTTTCTCAAGTTCTTGATCGCTGTGAATACTCGAATCCGGTCCCCGACCGCAGTGATGCCCATCTCCTTCAAGGAGCCTTGATCCACATCCAGCAGTACTGAACCCAGGATGTCATGTTTGGCAAAAGTCGTGGCATGAGCGCCCAAACGAAGGCTGTGCAGCCAAGCAGCGACCTCTGCCTGCGTCCATTTGCGGACTACGTGGAGCCACCATCACGAAAGGCACGAGCAGGTCAGTCAGCAAGAAGGAGTCGCGCTTAGTGGGAGCTATACAATGGTGGGCTTCACTCACCTTCGTCGACGCTGATGCCTCCCATGCTGCCCATATTGGCCAGTCCTGCAGAAGAAGGGGTGCCGGGACGAGAGCCGATGTTCGAGCCTGGTCTCGAGGCCAGTGAAGCGGCGGCGACAGCAGCAGCAGCAGCTCGGGGACTAGAAGCTACCATGGAAGCAGCTGCACTAGATCCTACAGCATATCCTAGCGGAAAGCCTGGCGATGTTGGTGTGCCAGCTGACATGTCGGGTGCGTTGCAGCAAAGTCTGTTCTGCAAAAGGTGTGCAGGATTCCGCTTTCCTTGCTTTGGGCGCCGGCGGTCCACTTGGCGAGCAAGCTGATCGGTCGCCAGGGCTTGCAAGACCTCCGGGTCTAGAAAATGAGGCCTCGTCAGCTAATGAAGAAGGCACAGTCGTAGCTCCTCAGAGGCGGGTCAAAAGAGATCTGTGCGCGCCTGCAGCACACGAGCGATCTGGCAGCTAGTAAAACGCGCGTTGTGAAAGAAGAAGGGCGGAGGGGCGAGGGCAGTCGAGCTGGAAGACCAAAGGTGCAAGACTCGGCCCAGGCTAAGGCAGAGCTTGGCCTAAGCAGGTCGTTGTGGCAACGCGAGAATGTGCGCCGACGACCCTCGTCTTGATGAGAGCGAACGAGGAGGCGAAACAGGGAGCCGCGGTCCAGCGATGGTCACGATTGCCGACGGTCACCAACTCACGACTCGACGTGATTGATGCTATATCGCCCTACACCATATCTACCTAGCGTACAGCCATTACGCGCAGGGTGATCAGAGTTTGAGTGAAGCGGCCGGCCAAATGCGCTTGCGCAAGGCAGGCTCGCCTGCATGACATCAAGCGCCAACTCGGCACTCGCGTATTCCATTAAATTCAAAATTGTGGATTGGCGCTCAATGATCTACCTATACGTATATCACGCAGGACAATCAATTGAATCTACCGTCAAGTGTGAGTTTTGGATTTGAATCAAAGGCCGCCAAAGCTCTCCGCAGAGGCTGAATTGTACATTTTTGATTGAAGATTAACAGCAGTCACAAGTCGATCTTTCTGATGACGAAAGCAGCGGGAAAGTCGTTGAAGCAGGGCGCCATGTGCACGCATAGCGCTATCGAGGACCGGCACACAACGCACCTCCTCCACAAGGATTGAGTTGGAGGGCTAGACGTCCCTCACGCTATACACCCCGGGTGCTGTATCGTACCGCGCCTACCGCGAGCTTGGTGAACGCGAGCCGGTTGCGCGCAGGAGCCGCGCACATAGTATGTAGGCTCCATTCACGATGATCCACTCGTGACTTGCGACACTCGACGGCGATGCTGCTGCTGCTCTTTTGGCCCGAGTTAGAAACCTCAATCAAGGCGCGAAAATGTGTTTGCGCAAGGGACTAAGGAAGGTCGGGCTCTTCAAAGTAGTCGTCGCCGTGCATTGAGCAAGCGTTCGAGTGGGTGTTTCTAGATCAGGATCATGAATATAGATAGGACGAAGCAACGAGCAAGGCATCTTGGTCGATCGTGCCAGGTAGGTATGAGCAAGAGCGGGAGAGCATAGAGCTGATGTGCTGGAAGAGCGCTCTCAACCGAGGATCGACACCGACAGAAACGCGTCTCGCCTCAACAGTCGACCATGCGGATACGGGTGGAGCGCAGACAATGACCGCAGCGTTCGAGTGACGCTTCCCCGTGAGTCGCCCACGAATGAACTGAGACGTATCCATGCAAGCGTGTGCAATTGCGCGTGCTTGAGCCAATAACGACAGTGCGCGGCCCCTCGCCGAGTCAAGAGCCGTGCCAACCCATTCGGGTCTCATGTATGCAATCCTGTAGGACCAAAATGCGTATGAGTGGGACTTGACAGCTCAACTTGGCACCGCAAGGCTCTCTTCAGCGCATCGTCAATGTGTCCTTGCAATCAGCCTCCCAAAGTGGCGGGTGAATGGAAGAGTGAAAACCTTCAGCAGGGTTCGCCCGTACCGGTGCCCCCAATCGAGCGAGGGACAGTGTGAGCCGAGGAAGGAAGAGGACGTCTTTTTTTGTGCCAATCTCAAAGTGAGCGGCCTTTGCATGCTTCTTGATTGCTATCACCCTCGGTAAGCCTCGTAGGTGAGCCTAGTCGCACCTCTTGGAGTGAAGGAAGCTTGAGGCAATGGGAGCCTTCCGGCTCGCTTGAGAGACTGATACGTCACTTGACAGACTGCCGCCGCTCGCAAATAGTCTCGTTTATAGAAGTAGGGTGATCGACAGAAATATGATTGCCCCATCGCTTCACCGCTCTACCTTTCCTTCGTCTCACCAGATGGTGCGAGCACATCACACAGCAATATCCAGCTTTGGTCCGCAATGACGCCTCTGTCGCGTATGACTTCAAGATGAGGAGTGGAAGCGAGTGAGCTGCTCGGAGTTCTTTTGGAGGAGCTGGAAATCGCTCTTGCGTGCTCACGTGAGCGGGCACTCACGGATCGTATACTTGAGACACCAGCGCGGTACCAAGGTGGCTCCCTTTGGCCACGGGACTGGGAACGAGTCTTCGAACTCGGTCAAAAGTGTCGGTAAAGTCTCGTCCGGGAGAATGTCTGCGAGCGCGAGAAGCAACAGTCAACGACACGATCCACGAACCCGTGGCTATGCCTCGCACCGCCACGTATCGCACAGCTAAAAAAGAGTGTGGCACTTTTCCATCACTTCGACTCACTGTTCCCATCATTCGCGCTGCTCAGCTCAATGCCTCTGTCCGCGCACCATTTCCCCAACTCTTTGTCCCACGCGCAAGGAGAACGCATAGCGCTAAGGTCAATGGTGATGACTTTAGGGTGCCTACATGCGCTTGGAATCGTCTGAAATCTCTTCAGCTCTGCCGTCGAGTCGTCGTGCCTCGCATCGCCATTCTGAGTTCCTTGCCCTCCACGCGAAGAAAGAGCATCGATGTCAGGGAAAACAGCGCGAAGGGCGGGCAAAGACACGGAGGAGAGCCCAAGTGCGCTCAACTGCGGATGCCCTGACAAGTGCTGGATCACGAGATGAAAGGCAACAAGCTTTAAGCGTGGACATGTCTGCGCGGCCGAAAACATCTGCGCCGCCCTCCACACCTGCTGTAGGAATCTCGAGCACCTCATCGTTTCTCACCTGCCAAGTCTTCTTGACCACTTCCTCGTCCCCGCTCGCCTCTTGTCCACCCAGCTTCAACCTCGGAAACTCGAGAATGACCTGATCGACGGTCAGTATGCCGGTGCTAGAGCTGAGGGCATCCAAAGCCTCCTGGAACCACTGTCCCACTCCGCTCGTCCCGTACTCCGGTGCATTTTGAGGATCTTTACCTAAGCAGAAGAACTTGGCAGTAACGTCCAAGGCATCTCTTGATCCGCCTGCTGCGCACGGGTCCGGAGATCGATCCGCTGCTATGCTTGATGGATGAGGGAGCCACAAACGCGTAGAAGGAGACGAGGAATGATGCGACTTGATGCTGCTTGTAGCGTAAGAGATGTACTCCCTATCTTCTTCCAGCGAAGTAGGAGGTCTGACAAATCCCGGTCGAGGCTTCACATCTGATTCTTGAGCCCCATTGCTGTTGGAGGTAGGTACGACCAAGGAAGAAGAAGAAGAGGAAGGTCCAGCGGGAGCGGTGCTCGAAGTAGAGACGCTCGGTGTGGCCTGAGAAATGTGGAACTCTTCTGCGGGTCCGCAAGGAGCCCTCCTGGGTCTTGTGTCCAAAGCCCAGTCTTCTATGTTGCCGTCCAGAGCAAAATGCAGTGTCTCGTGGAGAGCGTGAGACAGAGCGCCGTAGGAGGAGGGCTTGAGCGGTCGACTTGCGTCGTGCGTGTGGAGTACAAGCGTAGTTGGATAGGCCGAGGAGCAGGAGGAGGATGAGTTGTGACTTGTCATGCTGGCAGAGTTGCAAGGTGTGTTTCGTCTCTAGTGAGAGCGGCCAACAGAATGCGCAGAAGACGAAAGATCGAGTGAAGGTGAGAATGTGTTGGCGCGCAGAGGTGTGAAGCTTGCGCCCAGCTGCAAAGTCGGTGGCTGGCCGCACAGATCTCAAGGCAGAAGAGTAGCTTCTTAGGCACAGCTTGACGCTGTTTTGCCGGACAGTAGGAACGTCCGAGCAGACAAAATCGTCCCGCGCGCGACGTTGCGAATGACTCGAGAATGATTGGGGTCGACTCACAGGTGGAGACGCATGAGAGGAAGGGAGATCTTAGCTCTGGCGATCTCGGTCTGATTCGCGATTCACCACCCTCTTCAGCCTTCTGCTCGATCAGCAAATTTCTCTCGGTCTCGCAAGCCCTCCGATTGCGATTTCAAATCGCATTGTCGCGCGCGCCCGCCCGCCCAAGGAAAAGCCACACAAGAATACAAGGGAGCGGCCGATCGTTCGATGGTACTGCTGCTCACGCATGTGGGGAGCGCGGCCGTAAGCTCTCTCAAAGCACTCTGACTGCAACTCTTGACTGTGGAAATGAATGCGCTGCATAGACTTTAACGCCGTGCCCATGTCATGGAGCATGCATGCATGCATGCATGTTTGCTTGCATGCTCTGCTGCAACGGGAAGAGTCAATGTCCACGTGACTCTATCGTGGGCTGGCGCGTGTGGAGGGCGATCGATGCGCGCGGATGCGGATGCGCTCAGCTTGAACACGTCGATGCGCTACGCTCCTGAAACCGGATGGCTTACTATTATTAGGCTGTCGTGGGGAAGGCACATAGGAGGCTGTGAAAGGCCAAATTGGAGCGAGGAGGGCACCTAGCATGTAGCGCCGATAATCAGAATCATGAACTGATCACGCGTGATTTGCGGGCTGATCACTTCCTCCATCAGCTTACCTATCAGGGCCGCGGCAAGCTTGAAGACTGCCAAGGACCAAGCTGGCTCATCTTGCCCACGTCAACCCCCCCCGCTGCCCACTTTGGTCGAAGCTGTGCCCACCGACGAAAGGATGACCGGACAATCCGTTCCTGACTATTACACCCTGCTGGGTGTCAAGCCGAGCTCTTCCAAAGAAGAGATCAAATCGTCCTACAAACGACGTTCCCTTTCCACTCATCCGGATCGTTTCCCAAACGCCAGCGCTTCCGAGCGTTCCACCTACACTGCTCGATTTCAGTCTCTAGCGGATGCCTACTACGTTCTTTCGGACGATGCTAGACGAGCAGAGTACGATACGCTGAGAAAGGAGTATGGTACGAGCGACGATGGAGGAGTGGGCATGGATGCTCAGGACGTACCGGGCGGCATGCACTGGAGCGACGATCCGTTCGAGAATCAGCAGAGCAGTAAAAACTTCTTTGAGAGCTTTAAAGGTTTTGCTGGATTTGGAGCAGGCGCTGGTGCCGCGAATGATCAAGCGGGACCATCTAGCGCTGGCAGCTCGACGACAAACGCAGGGCAGGGTCAACCTCAAGGTGAGTCAGCGCAGCGAGGCACTGCGCTAGACGCACACTGACGTTCCCCTTTGACATCCTCTGTCCTCATCTCTTAAATGTCCTCCACACACCATCACACCTCTGTCGACGCAGCTGACCAAGTATTCGGATCAGTCTTTGAAGAACTGCTCAGACCCGAGGTGGAGAGGGTGGCGCCCATTTGGAAATGGGTAGGATCAGCCTCGGGCGCAGGGCTGGGTTTCATCATCGGAAACATTCCGGGTCTGGTGGCAGGTGCTTTCGTGGGCAACAAATTGGGCGCTGTGAGTATGCATTGTGATCTAACTCCAGGCAACAGATCGGAGGCATGTATGCGCTTGGAAGATGTAGCTTTTTGTGTCTGGCCCTCGAGAGAATAGTCGGATCATCTACTGATCCGCACTTCTTTTGCTCTCCTGCACCTGCTGAAACATCTTGCCCGATCACGAATCCCACAGATTAGAGACGCAAAAGGCAAGTCCGTGGGACAAGTATTTATGACGCTGAATACTAGTCAGAGGGCAGAAGTGCTCAAAGCGCTGGCGGTCAGGGTGCTCGGGTCCATCTAGCTCGATCAAGGACAAGCTCTTTACATCATCACGGTTCTCCTACCAAGTCATCAATAAGCTCGCATTCCCGTCAGCCTCGACGATCACCTGAAAAGAAGCCCAGGCCATGCTCTCGCGACGCCTTAAATGCCGCTGTTGGAGTCAAAGTCCACGTTGCCTCTTTTTCCTTTCACAAATCGTCTAACCCTGTTGAGCCAGGATCAAGGCTCGCTCACCGTCCCTTGTACATGCAGCCGTGCTGCTGCTGTCCGTCTCTCGCGCTTCTCCATACCCCAATCAATCAGATCAATCATCCTCTCATGTTCAAAGATGCATATGGCGTGGATGCGCTGGGTCGAGGCTGGGGTCAAATGCATAAGTGAGCTAAAAGAGATCGGCGCTTGACTTTTGAACATATCTTAATCGTGAATGAAGATGAGGACGGTTCGATCACGTGACCTGTTTTGAGCTGCGAGTGGAGGGACGGAAGAACGGTGAACCTGCAGATCACAGGTATGGGTGTACAACAACAGGTACATGCCGCATACATCTACCTGCGACGTTGGTGAAGTAGTCGCAGGCCTGGAGTCACGAGTGTAGGTCGAGCGAGGTCTTTGACAGCTCGCGGCTTGATACTTACCCCACCACTCACTCGCACACCGTCTGGACCTTTGAGCGCCTGATTCGACTGCTCCGACCAGAGACACTCGCTTCTGAGTGAGGATCAGAGGAAACATGATGCATCGAACCGCGCCATGGGCCTTACGTTCCAGAGCAGTCCTTCTCAGGAGCATGGGACAAGCTCAAGCTCAAGCACACCCATATTCGCCAAGCCGTTCCCTCCAATTCAGCAACCGCACACCTCACCTCGACTCCTCTCGATGCTTTTCCAATTCGGCTTCCAGCCTAGATGACCGGACAAAAGATGCAACCCCCTCTTCAGCTTCCTCCACTACTTCTATTCCCACACTTCAAAATCTCATACATTCTTCGATACGAAGCTCTGGACCCATGTCCATCGCAACCTACATGAGGACGGCTCTACTAGATCCCACATTGGGCTATTACGCGTCCGCCTCCGCTGATGCTCAACAGACACGACAGGGGGAGTCTGAAAGAGATCGGGCGCGCAACATTCTGGGCGCGAAAGGCGACTTCATTACAAGTCCTGAAATTTGTCAGATCTTTGGAGAGGTAAGTGGAAGTCATGAAGCTGCGGGAAGAAGAAGAGGAGGAGGAGGAGGAGGAGGAGGAGGAGGAGGAGGAGGAGGAGAAGGAGATCTGAGACATAGCCTGGCATACATTGACATGGACCTCGTCACCCTCTCGTATCAGCTCTTGGCAGTGTACTTGATATCCAGATGGCAAGCCGCTGGATCTCCAAGCAAAGTCAGATTGGTCGAGCTAGGACCTGGACGAGGCACACTCCT